CATGTTTTCCGTCCCGTTTTTGCTCATTTCTCGGAGGCAAAATGAGCAAGAACGCTCATTTGTACATCATTCTAGACACAAATAAATGGCCTTTTCAGAAAGTGAACCATGGATGCGGAAATGTTGGCAGTTTTCTCAAAAAATGCTTGAATTCAAGAAGTTAGATTTGCGTGGTTTTCTTTTAGTTGCAAAATCCACTTGAACATATCGCTGCTTTTTTCGAAGTTTTTCAAGAACCATTCGAGCCAGAGAATTCGTTTTGGCATCGTTGGATAGAGAAATGAATGGGTGGCCCTTGGTTACTCCAAAATAAAGTATTTTTCATACATACGTTCACATAACAAAATTAACTGAAAATACTACAGTTTTTAAAATGATAATCTCTCAAAATGCCCCAAACACGGTAAATTTGCATAACTGGGAAACTCCTTAGGTCAAAAGCAATAAAAAAACTGGCTTGTGAAATTTTACCTAAAATAATACCGATAAAGACCACAGACCTGCTGGCTTAAACGCCCTCTTCCTGTACAGTTGAATCAATCCCGAGCTTCGATTGCTTGTGTTGCTGTCCCTGGACAATCCAATGATAAGTGTTTCCCGTTTCAGGCATGCAATAGAGCACAAAGTTGGACGGGACAAATTCATCATGAAAAGTACATCCTACATGGTGGCCTCTCCGTCCTTTTGATGTCTGAACAGAGGTCGATGGACGTCCGGAATCCTCCAGGAACTCCGGAGCCGAAGCTGGACGATGCAGACGGGGCGGAAACGAACATCGGACACTTTGCCGGGTAAGAAATTAGTTTTGCTCAATTTTCTCAGTAGGGGAATAAAAGGCCGATAATCAGCTAGTGGGGATTTTGCCTTGTAGCTCATCAGCAACCTGATAATATATGAATAATTGGAATGAAAAAAGTGATTTTCTTTGAAAAGTCCCAAACTCAAAGTTTTTCTATTGTAAATTGAGACACTTTAAGAAACCTTCAGAATTTCGCCAAAAGCATTTTCGTGCGAAAACGCGATTCATTTATCTAACCGAAAATATTAAAGTTTCCTAAATATTTCCTGGCTGAGATAAATGAAATCCTTCCGTTCCCAACAGTTAGCGGTGAAGTTTTCCCGTGAGAAATATAATCCCATCAAGTAGATCATTCACCTCGCTTAAGCGTTTCAAATAGCTGAGCCAATATTTGACATTTTTTTATGAACTTTTCCTTTCCCTAGGCAACAAATAAATTCGAATTTTCCTGCTCTGCGTACGCTTTTCCGAAGAATCAGCACTAACAATGCCGGAGCAACATGAAAATGCTTGTGGAAGCACAAACACCATTAATCTAGCTGTCTAGACTATTTGAACAAATTATTTGCTCTAAAACGGTTCGTTGCCGTCTCCGGCCACTCCTGTTTCATTTTTATCCGGGTTGATAATTATCGCTACAGGAATAATTAGTCAGCTAACTAGCCTGTTCGATGTTAGCTATAGTTCCGTTTTTGCCTCAGGATTTTCATCATTTTATGTGGTTTTTATCGAGCATTTGCTGCTGAAAACTCGAGGAAACTTTCACTAAATCTCTCTCGAATACACGAAATTAATTCATCAAATAACAATAAAATTCCACGTCCCATGCCAATGGCAAAAAGAGTAATCGAACCTCGCGTTTCCGCAGCCCCGTGGGATATTTTATTTAATTTTGTTTCGTTGAGGGTTGTGCGGACCCAGTTCGTTTTACTGTTTGGCCATTACGTTCTAAAAACAAATTTCTTGGTATCGCAATGCCGGTAAACAGGATATTGTTGAGTAGTAACGGTGTCAAAAGCCTTAGGGAGATCATGCGACATGCCCCGATTATTGACCGATTTTTCATTGTCGTGTGGACAAAGTGTAATGGCCGGAGTAAAGTGCGATTATTTCGATAGGCAGTGATTAATTTCCCTGATAATGGAAAAGAGTTGGGTTCAATTGCCATTTTTTTCCAACTGTAGCATTTGCTCTTAAAATGGCTTTGAATTATTATGGCTTTCGTTTGGCATTAGGAATGGTGGATATTTTTCGCTCTATTTGGGTTTTATTAATTTTTGAGCTGAGCTTTTCCTTTAATTCTCATCGCAATTTACAAAACCGTTTATCCACGCCACTTTCTACAGAGTCATTGAATATATCTATTTTTTTAAGTTTACAAAGGTTTTTTTGATTTTCATCACCAACGGCACCGAAAGAATCGAATAAAATAAGTAGGTTACCTAGGGAGAAACAGTAGGTTAATTAAAATTTAAATGAAAAAATCCGTTAACGTTTCCTGGACAAAAACTCACGGTTGTTCAAGCAAAGGTCGCAAAACGTTCAAGCTTTGCATTTATTCGATAAAAAAAAGATTGAAAATTTCACAAATAGTGCTCATGAAATGAGATTTTTAATGAAGCATGTTGATTTATAACCGATGAAATATCGCTTATAGGCCTACCGTTTCTCACGCAGTTCAGACGTTTGGGCCTACTATGTGGTAGAGGCTGTCGATTTTTTTATATTGGGTTGAAAATTTTCGGGTTTTTAGACCGTAGTCGATAAGAATTTGATCCCGAAGTTTCGCTAGCACGCTTGGCGAGCGTTTTCAAAGTTTTCAATCAGTCGATTCACAATTGACCAAACTATATTTTTAGAACTAAACCTGACACAATAGTAAATAATAATTGGTTTTATAAAAGCGCTTTAACTAGAATTTATTGCGTGAGTCAATCACTCGTTCATGGAACAAAATAGCCGCACTAACAGCATATAATGCGACAATCAAATTGAAATTCAACCGCAATGAAATTCCGTTATTGTGCGGTAAGGGGATGTTCTAAGCCCGATTCTTATGTTCCAACACGGCAAAATAATAAATGGATTAGAGCGTTATTCACTCGCGAACTTTTCCCATCTTCTTTTTTGTGCCCGAAAAGTTACTCCATTGTGTAGAAACGGAATAAATTATGTATTTGGGATTAGCGCAGAAATTCGCCCCGGCGTGGATTAACGCCAATGTTTCCAACGTTGACTTCAAAGGTTCGAAAGTTTACAAAAAAATCTTATTTGGCTCTAACGTAATGTGCAATGAATTTTTAATTATTTAATCTAAGTTGTACCAATTTGCTCGTTATTTTGCTAGTTTTTTTCTTTCCTTCCTTGTCAGGATATCGATTAGGCACAGCAGCGGTTTCTCAAAAAAGTGCATAAATTTAGGCGGTTTTTCAAACTCAACTTTTGCGTTCGACCTTTTAAACTGTTCTCTGCGCACATTTAGTCAGTTTGCACTTCAACAATTAAAATTCTTCAATTTTCAGATGACAATAATTTAAGGACAATATTGGAAAATTTTAGAGAAGTTTCTGGCAGCAGTCCACTTAAAAATAACTCGGAAACAGAAAACGTTGTTCACATTAAACTGAGTAAATACCTTAGGCTAAGTTTCCGCGCAGTTTTATTTATTAAGTAAAAAGTAAAATTATACAGTTCAATGAATTGGTTATTGAGCAATTTAACACAAATATTTCTTTTTCAAAAGAGAATTTTCATTGCAAAACATGTAGGCCACCGTTTGGAGGCGTTTGTTGTTATAAGCTGGCCCGTGTGCACATTTAGCCAGTGCCCTTCGTGTCTAGATCATATGTCTTTCTTAAAAAGCATACGATGTTATAGTCTCATGTTTTTTGAGTAATTTGCACCTTTAACCGTCCCTTTATCCTGAGCGATTTGAGAGATATTAATTTTTTAATCACCGGCCACTTTTTCCGCAATAAATTTAATTCAACTGTATTTTTAAATTCCGATGAAGGATGAGCAAACCACTCTTTTTGCAAGCTTAGAGCTGTTCACTTCTGTACATTTTATTACGTGTGTAACTCGATGCAAAATAAAATCATTATTCTTAGGCGTGAAAACAAGATAAGTTTAGGCTTAGCAAACCAAAAACTTTAACAACTTAATTGCCAGAGCACAGAGAGTGGCAACACAAATCAGGGCTATCAACTTATAATGAAAAGTTGCTTGCACAGCTTTTTTGCCCGAATTTTTGTTTATAGCAAATAAAAAAGTTTAAGTGAATTTTGCGCGGAAAATGTCGGTCGTAAAAAATTAATATCTCTCGAATGGCTCAGGATAAACTGACGATTTAAGAGTCATATTATTCAGAAGACTTAAGATTAAACATCGTATACTTTTTTGCACTCTGGGCTTCCTTACTTTGTCCGCAGTAAGAATTTAAACTTTGACCAAAAAAACATGACTTAAAACTTATAAACTTTTCTCCAAAAAACAAGCTATGATTCAATAAACCAAGTTAAGTAGCTTAAAAATACACTGGCAAACAGACGCCAAATGCTCCAACATTCCGTAAAATTAAAACAAGTTCATAAACCCCATAAACTTACCCTAAACTCGCATGTTTTCGCCCAATTCTGTTATGTTTCCAATATAATTATTATGTAAGCACAGCCATGCATATTGACACCCTTTCCAGAAAATTGAAATTGCTCTCGAAACTAAAGTGGTGTCGCATAGGTTGAAGGCATTTCGGGAAGCTAAATTATTAATATCGACTAACCCCAGGTGAATCTCGACTTTATGAAACGTTGGCTTGGGGAATTTTAAATATCCGCCCCTTTTTTCGGTCCCTCATTCGGCAATATTAACTCGCAAATAAATTTCGCCTCCTGGTTTGAGTAAATACGTAAACCCTCGTCCCTTCGAGCAAAAGGCAAGATGAGTCAATTTTTGAGTATCTCTTTTATAAAGATTCGCTCCGCAATGGTGCTCGAATCCTATTTAACTTATAATAACGCGCCGATAGCTCTGAATGCTGGCCTTCTTATAAATATGGATATATATTCAAGCGACTGAGAATGAAAGCATCAGAAGGTCACTGGTTGGTAAAGCCCGAAAATTAAATTTTAATCAACACTTATGCCGGTTTCGTACTCGGATGGCAGCCGCAGGCTTTGCGAAGTTTCTCCAGAAGATTTTGGAATAATTTAATAAAGGATTAGGATTATGTTGAGAGATTAGGCCTACGATTCAAGTGGATTTAAATTACGGAAAGGGACTTGGAAATGTAATTGCTCTCTAAGCCGATGAAATACATTAAACATTGACAATAGGCTTGCCAACCTTAAACCATTTATGCTCGAAGAATATTCAACCACTTTTGACCACTCACATTATGACCGTTTTCCATTGAAATGCCAAAAATGGAAAATTTAATATTCCAATTTCCCGCATAGAAATAAACATCACTGTTTACTGAAAATTGGGGTTTCGCGTATGCCCAAACACTCGAATGAAAAAACAATCAACAGAAACTCAATTGAACAATAAATATGAATGTTTGACTGCTCAATATTTGCTTTTCGACATCTGATATCGGCCCGAACCTTAGAGCTTTTTCATTTGCTTTTAGAAGGAAAAGAAATATAATTCGAGGATGTTCAAACAGAGGCCTTGAGGCCGCAAACCCCTGAAAATTTGAGACTCGAAATCATATCTCTGTGTGGGATAATGTATGAGAGCTGGTTAATATTTCGGGAATATTGGTTTTGTTCAGAAAATAAGCTGCTGTCTATAAGCGAATAACTGTGTTTGGTTTATGTCGAATTCAATCAATTCTCAGGTTTTAACGCAGAATTTCGCCGGATCAGTTCTGAGCATCATGACTTTGTGTTCGGAGGATTCTTGCAGAAACTCGCAGATTTTGCATTTTCAACTTTTAACTTGGAAACTTGATGGCATTCGCACGTTCTTATGGGAAAAGGCGTATTTAAAAGCCACTATCGTAAAACTGCACGTCCTAGACACGACACTGCTAAATTCATATGGAAGTTTAAAGTGTGCAAGTAAAATTTATGTATTTGACCTCAAATGTAATGGAACTGGCTTCACCTATTATCGCGTAGTAAAATGCGACAGGATTTATCCATTGATATGATCGCTTTGCCGCCATTCATTACCGCCAGTTCAGCCGATAAATTTCCAGAAAAAAACATTTTTAACCAAACAACCACAATCTCTTATCCAGGGCATCTAAACCATATTTCCTCCCTAGGCTCTGACCCGGATTTTGCATTCTCGCTCCAGGTGCCCTCAAAAGGGATAAATTGGGATCATTCTAAAATCACATTTACTCCCCGGGCCAATTTAACACAGGCCAAACATATTTATCATTGTATTAAATGCCTGATAATGGTAGTTATCTGATAAGGCAGCCATATGTTGCCAATTTGTATACAAACATTGAAAAGTGCCAGCTACAGCTATAATTAATGTTTTTTCTAGTTTAATGGTGTTATTGATTTTATCCCTCACTTCAACGAAAATTATTCTATTACCACGCAAATTATTGAACTGGAAAACTGCTGGTTATTGTCTAACGTTTCGCTAGCCAACCGCTTCATCATCACAAGCATCTTCAGAAACGTGGGGCGTCAAGCAAGCACAATTTTCTATCGACTGCAGTCTAAAATCCCGAAAATCCGCAATTATTCAAACGAACAGAAAGAAGCGATCGAAAAATTGAGATATAGTACCTACACATGGTGTGAGATTCTATTGAGCGAATTTGTGTATAACCGACGAAATGTAACTTATAGGCCTGCAGTTTGTCACACAGTTGAAGCGTTTGGGCCTACTATGGGGATGCATCGGCAGTGGACTTTTCGCTGCCAATGTTGAAAGAAAAAAATTCTACAGGGTGGAAAGTGAAACAATGCAAACATTTTTTATACATACAGAGTGGCCCCAAAAAATAACCGTGAATGATCAGTGTTCCTGCAAGAGATTTGATTTCTGTTTGAAGTGTGATCCAGCTCTATTCCTTTTCTTATAGTCAGTGTTTTTGCGAAAACTAAGGAGCCAAAATCAAGTTTCTGCAAGGTGAAACAATGCAAAGTTAAGTGAAAGTTTGGCATGCTCCTAGTTGAAGATAACATTTTTATAATACATAATTTACATAAAAAACACATTTCAAATATTCTAATTTTTTTATTTGTTGCCTCTGTCTTTTTCTGAATGTTAATTTTTTAAATTCTGTGAGTTCTTTGTTTTTTCAGTTGTGAGTTTCCTTCATTTACAGGTTGATGCAAAATCAACTTTTTCGTCTTTAAGTAATAACATTTGTCTTCTGATTTTCAAAAAATGTTCAAGCTCATGTCGCAGCTAAACCTTTATAGTTTACTTCAGATAAAAATTGAATATACAGGGTTGCCTTAAAAGTGACCAAAATCAGAACTGCCCCGGAAATCTGCGATTTCGGCACGCTCTCAATTTAAGTACACTTAACTTTCAAGCAATCCATTCGCTCATGCAACCCTGTATATTTAGTTTTTGTCTTATGTCGACTATGAAGTTTTAGCTTCAATATGAGCTTTAGATTTTGAAAATCACATTTTATCGTTGCCAAAGTAAAATGTGAATTTTTTTAGATCACCCTTAAAATGAAAGAGATCGGTGAAAAATTGAGCAGCTGGTTCAAGATATCAGGTTTATTTTTCTTTGTTCTTGGAATCTGACAAAATTATTTTTTATTCAACTGGGAACAAGCCGAACTTTCAACAATTTTTCATTGTTTCATTTCACACTTCAATCTTTGTATCATTTTCCACTGCTACTCTTTCACTTGCTTCTTTCCACAAAATCCATTCAGATTCTTAGAGGACTTACTCATTGCCCTTAATTTTCATAATTAATTAAAAACGATTTTTTCAATTTTTACTGCGACTGAACAAGAACACGAGACGAGCCAACGACATTCTATAATCAAAGTACTAATTAGCCCCTTAATGAAAATACAGATCTCTGTTCCCTTTGAGTCCCTCAACTTGAAAGTGTGTTCCTCGGGCTTTTGATAACTTTTGAAGAGTAGGTTTATTAATTAATGTGTCGCAACGGGTCTGATTGAACAATAGATAATTGTTTTAGCGCGAATCCCGCTCTTTAAATAATCAGTTTTATTTTGATTAGCGGGTTTCTGCAAGAAAAATTCCTCTATTTTTTATTGAATTAAGACTGCAGGTAGCACAACTTCGCTTTTCCTTGATTTAAAGGGTTTTTGCCTTTTTCGCGTTGGTGATATAAAAAATGTAACCTAATTAGTTTGCTGAGCGGAGCTTTTAATCGAATCTTTGACTCAATTTTATTTCCTTCATCCGATTTCCTTTTAGCAGCCATTTGCTGAGCCTATTTTGGAAAAAGTGCCAAGTGGCCTCTTGAATAATGGATTAATTTAATTATGCATTTTCCGGCGCGAATGGAGTAGTTAACGCTCTGTCCAGCTGGATAATTGCTTAACCCCTCAATGGAATGAAACGTTGGCAGTTGAGACCACAATTCTCACTCTTCATTTAAAGATTCTGTTCCATCCAGAAGTAATTTAGAATTATTTTATTTAGGCATAAGCGGAATAGTAAAGTGCTATGGGAGAAGGCAGTTCGAACCGTTTCAAAAGAGCGGCGCCGAAACCGGCTATCCATAATAGCGCTTTCCCTAGTGGATAAACCCAAGTTCCAAGACATTGCCATTACTTTAACGCCCCCATCCTCGCCCAAAAGCTTCACATTGAACAATCTGAACGAGAATTGCAACAATTGGAATAACGTAAGGAACAATCGATGCACCATTTGCATTTTGCTTTACATCAGTTGGGTTTTAGGAGAAGCAAAACAACAAATTGAACAACGAGACTTGCATACCGATGAACATCGATGCCACTCCACACTCGAACGGATTGTATGATGAGAAATGCGATTTGTATAATGAATATTTCACGCAGGATAAGGCTTGCTTTGATGAACTCTGCGAACCAAATGATAAACGTAAGGGGGGTTGGGAAACTTGGAAATTTATGATAATCAATTGACTTTCTTTCAATTCAATTCCAGCCGACTTTGCTTCACTGTTCAAAAAGGGGCTCATGTACAAGGGCATCTACTGGCCCAGCTTGACCAACAGTTTCCAGTGCAACCATCTGGAACTCGCCTACTTGCGATACTCTCATCGGCAAAGACAGAAAGCTCTCATCATCGTTAATATTGTGGATCTTCTTCTGAAGGTATGTGAAAATCGAATTGGTGCAGACAACAATAGTGATAAGATTTTAAGAGGGTCCTCTGGTGCCGTCCAATAGCTGAAAGGCATTGATGCGTTGCCAGAGCAACAAAGTCGAGTGTTAGGTGAATAGCAGTTTGCTCGCACCAACGGATCCAGGTGACTGGAAATTTGATGATTGATCCTAACATTCTGGGTACTAAAAATTGCGTTTTTGTTGAGTTTTTTTACGTAAAGCAATCCCTATGTAAAATTCTGCAATTTCCATAAGTTGTTATGGAAAAATAAATTTGCTTATGATTGACAAGCTTGAATCTTCCAGTTTTTTCCGATTGTTAATTTGCAATTAAACAAGTTTTGAACAGATAAACTTAACAAAATTCACTCTTAAAATTAATTAACTCTGGCTAAAAACACGATAAATTGCCGAAATTGCGGGTGCAACGACTCGGTTTCCTCTTGCTATAATTTTACTTCTGCAGTGTTGTAATGTGATATATTTAACTATGTTTCCTTGTAATATCCACATCTGTTTAATCTGAGGTTTTTAATGCAACAAAGGACTTTCATTATTACATACGAAAAAATGTATTCTTGAAATCGAAATATTTGACTTATATAAAAAATTAAAGCGCCGCATGTTTCCACTCAAAAAAAACCCATTGAGTTCAAATTGAAATTGGTCTGTTGGTGCAACTAAACTAGCCCTTGACTGTTTGAAACAACAATTACCCTGGTTGCTGGGGTGACGCGTGTAGAGTCGTGCAGCCAAGGCTGTCACAAAACGTACACAGATTGTCTGCACCAAAGTTTTATTTTTCGACATCAGCAACAGTTGGGTGGAAAATCGATTGGCGATGAGAGGAACTCATTAAGGTGAATGATTTTATCGACGCACACGGGTCATCGATCAGAAATGTGTGCTCCATATAAAGTAGTGTCTCAGAATGCCCATCGAGCCAGAATTGATGTTTGCGTTGTTCGGGATCTCCTCTTCAGCTATTCGCATCAATGGGGGCGATTCTCGTTAAGCAATTCGATAATTAAATCCGTGTCCCGATACTAACCTTTGACACGTTAATTTTAGTTCAGTGGATTGAGGGAGGGCCTTAATCGAAGTAGCAAGAGAATGGCCCAAATGGTTTTTTTACCAGAAAACAAAAATGTATTAAGTATTAAGTAAAATTGGGCACATTTTCTGCTAAAATCGCCCAATTCAGCTTTCGAGTGTTTTTAATTCTGGAAAATAACCGGATGAACTTCAAGTGTCTAAATTTACTGCTAAGTGTTTCAGTTAATCAAATTCCCCACATTCTTTTAGCGCCATTAACTGCAAACTTCTACCGCAAGAGAAGAGTTTAATCGAGTTTCCTCCATTTTTACAAACTCCCACACTTATTAAGTGTTAGATTTTGCCACGGAATTTCGAACAGTGAAACCCTCTTTCTGTTTCCAGGTCGCTTTGATCATTGTCTGGGCCGGAAACGAGCAGCACGTAATTCTGGACAAATATACCGATGAAATTATCTGGTCGGTTTGCTGTATGTCAATTAACATAGCCGTATGTGTCTTGGGCTGGTGGAGATGTTTTGCTAATAACTATTTGCATTGGGCCGCTGCCTGTACTTGGCTGCTCCTCACTACTCAAAGTAAGTGCCCCGGTTAATTCAATTATTACTGTTTGTCAGCTCGTTACCCTCGTCTGTCTATACAACTTACTACAGAACAGGAAACCGCGGGTTTTTCCCAATGATTGAATGTTGAAAACTTTCCCTTAACTGTCCTCAGTTATATCAGTCCTCAACGCTGTCCTGAACTTCCAGTCTTGACTATCCAGGTATTTGCTGTTCAATCACTCCCGCTAAATTGGCTTTAGAAAGTTGGATAATTGCAAAGTTATTAATTGCCGAAACGGGAGACAGTTTGAGGGAGAGTTTGATACAGTTTTGAAACTGGTGGGCTTTTCGGGGTTTTAGGCCCAAACAGAGGTGGTTTACTCGGGGTAGTACCACTATGAAGATCCAAACCACTCGAGCTGGCGAAATGCAAGGAGAAAATTGTCTACGGCAGCCCAAACGCCCGAGGAACTTAAAAGTTTGCCAGTAGTACACATTTTTTGCTTAGAGAGTTTAAGGGAACGCAATATTCCCAACAATAAACGGTATTCGAGAACCCAAAAAATGTCTGATGTTTTCAATCACTCCACACTATTGCGCTCGCTACACAATTTATCGTCGTTTTGTGCAAGGGTGGCGTAAGATTATTGCAAAATTTCATGTTTTCTGTCCCGTTTTGCATGTTTCTCGGGACCACAAATAAATGGCCTTTTTAGAAAGTGAACCATCGATAAGGAAATCTTGGCAGTTTTTTCAAAAAATGCTTGAATTTTACAAGTTTTAGATTTGCGTGGTTTTTTTTTATTTGCAAAATCCACAACCATTCGAGCCACAGAAGTCGTTTTGGCATCGTTGGATAGAGAATTGAAAAATCGATTTAGTCGTAACAATGTGAGTGAGGAAATTCGAGTAGTTTTGACCCAGAAAGCAAAATTTGAATATCAGACACTTAAGTGCAAGATTATGTCAAAATTTCAGGTTTTCCGTCCCGTTTTTGCTCATTTCTCGGAGGCAAAATGAGCAAGAACGCTCATTTGTACATCATTCTAGGCAGAAATAAATGGCCTTTTTAG